TCACTTCCTGGCCACCTCAGTGACGTGTAGAGATTCTCTAAAGTGGCGGTTAGACACTCTGTCCCTTATTGTCACCCCGCGAGTCCATCCCAGCATTCTCATTTCGTTCACATCCAGGCGCTCCTCTTCTCTCTTGGTGGTTGCCCAGGTCTCTGCTCCCTAGGTGAGTGCGGGTCTTATTACACTAGTGTAGATCCTTCTCTTTAGCCTCAGGCTCATTCTCTTATCCGTCATTACTCCAACACACTTCCTCCAATTCCTCCATCCACTTTGTATCTTATTTGTAATCTCTGCTTCCACCCCTCCATCATGTTGCACCATAGACCCTAGGTACGTGAAGATATCAGTCTCTCTGAGTACCTCTAGGTCTATTTCCAAATCCTCCTCCTGCTCATCCTCCTCTCCGAAGTGGCATTTCATGCATTCCGTCTTCAGTCTGCTGATCCTGCGTCCTCTATCCTCTAACTTTTCTCTCCAACCCTCTAACAGTATACTCATAACAGTATGCACATAACAATATACTCTGGCTCTCCTTTCAGTCTGAGGCTCCTCCAAATTCCATCACGTGGAACCCTGTCTGTATATCTAGACCTAATGTGTCCATTTGATGTATGCGATCTTCTACTGGAATTGATTCCAGTACATCCTTGCTGTTACTGATGCAGTCTCTTAGATTAAATTTTCCCCTTTTGCATAAATCTTTTAAATCCATGATCATATCAATAGCTCCTTTTGACGTTGGTACAGATTCAAGCAATCATCAACATAGAAGTATTCACTAATACATTTCATTACCTCATCATCACAAAGCCCCTGACTGTCTATTACGACTTGTCTCAAAGCCATATTAGCACAGGCTGGGCTAGATATTGCACCGAACCAATGTACAGTCATTCTAAACACTTTAGGTTCTATGTTCGAGTCACCCTTTGGCCACCAACAGAAACGTAAGAAATCCTTATGCTTCTCAGGAACTTCAACTTGATAAAACACACTCAATGTCACCCATGATGGCTACAGGTTCCTTTCTAAATCTGAGTAACATGTTTTGAAGCTTGGTAGCTAGATTTGGACCGTGAAGTAAATGATCATTCAATGAGTCATCTAAGTACTTAGCTGAGCAATCAAAGACCTCTCAACTTCGCTGTTCTTGGGTGGTATACTCCATGGTGAGGAATATACCATACCTTTCCGTCATCTCTGCTTATCTCTGATTCAGGCCCTTGTTCAACGTATCCATTGTCATTTAATTTTGCCATAAAAGCTGCATATTCTTAAGCAAATCCTTGGATTTTGCTGAACCTGTTTTCAAGATGCTGCAGTCTTAATTTTGCATAATTCTGATTATTTGGAATCTTCACCTCTTCGTCATAGAATGGTAACTCCATCTCGTAGTTGCCATCCACAAGTTTCATTGAATCTTGAACTTTACTTAAAAACAACTTATCCTTTAGTGAATTTTCCCCTTTATCATCTATTATCAGTTCTGGGAACTCCATGTTGATTAGTTCTCTCACCAAATGGTCGAGCCCTTTTCGTTCTTCATTCTTACTAAGTTCTGCCGTACCAGTTTTGTAAGATGTTACAAGATCTGCTCCCTGTCACTTCAGTAGACCCCATATTACCCAACCTATTCTTGTTTAGGCAGCAATTGGGCAGTATTCCTCTCCTGATACAATTTCGAATGGTCTATATGCTTCTAGGTTATTGTTTCCGATCAACGGATTCACTTCTCCATCGGATTGTGGAATCTCTATGTCCTTTAAATGTGGCCTCTTTTTTAAGCCTTCCCTTGAAGACATAAACCCTCTGCAAATATTTATATTGTACTGAGAATGAACATTTTATAAGTCTACCGAATCGCTTCCTGCCAAGGCACCAATTTGTAGATCCTTCAGTACCGTAGAGCTCACCTTCCTTTTTCCATTAAGGGTCTCCAAGTTGCATGTGATTCCCTTTCCCTTACACTCCAGCTCATTCATTAGTTTTCTCTGAACAAATAGTTGTAGTTGAACCCGGATCTAAGAATGCCAGTGTCTGTTGTGGTTTTGTGACTATTCTTCCATTTTACTTTCCCTGATGTGATTGCTAAGGCGGCCATTTTGTCTGTTCCCTCTGACAATGTATGGCAAGCTTCTGCATTCATGTTTACCACCTCTTTGGGATTTTGAACTTCTTGTTGTTCAGACTTCCTTTGTAATGTCATCTTTTCAATTTTTAATTTCTCGAATTCAGCCCTTAGATTCCCAATTTCCTCCTGTAGTGGTGTATTTGTTAACCTCATCAAACATTCTCTCCACATGCATAATTGTGGGTTGTTCTTCACTGCACCCAAGGCAAATTTCCTTCTTGAAACATTGAGCGTTACCACGACCAGTTCTCAAGCATGAGAAGCACAATTTCTTTTCCCTTATTAGCTCAACTTTCCTTTCATATTCAAATTCCTTAAACCTTTTACAGTTAAGTAGCCTATGATTTCCCTTACATTGATGACACCCAT